GGTTTCTATAGCCTGTTCTGGTTTTGTGAGACATGAGGTTAAGATTCTTATTCATTGTTCGATGTCTAAAAATTGGTATCACGACTTCGATCCAACCTCTTTCTGATAATTTTTCACCTTGTGCCCTTAACCTAAGGCATAAAACATAAAACTCTTGGTGTTGATCAATCCCTGAGGAATGTGCCATGCATTCGGCTTCATCAAGTATCGCCAGGGGTGATTGAATGCAGATCTGGCATATGCACTTGCGGTGGTCTGCCGATGTGTAAAGTGGTCTTTATTCTCCTAGACAAGTCCCGTATCAGTTTTGCAATCCCGGAGAGGTGGATGCTGCCATGAGTCTGAACGTCAGTCGAATCAACAACCACGTGTGTATTTCAGGACACCTCTAACCACTGCGATACAGACGCCATTAACATAAGTTTAGAAAATATAAGTAATAAGTCACTATTGTTTTTATGTCTTCTTATTGTTATATTTGATAAGTACGCTGATGAAACAACGCTGAAGTTCGACAGAAGAGTTTTCCTCTTTGAACCTCATATCTTTTTAGAGATGTTCATTTTATTTAAAAAAAGGAAGATATGATTCCGTGGAATGATTTAATGAACAAGTCGTATCGGCACTTAGCCACTGATTTTCTATCTTCTACATTATTTCCTGTATTCTACCCACCTTTTCAAGTTTCTTTTATTATCTAGATTTATTACAATAAGGCTAAATTATCACTCACTAATAGCGAGCCATTTGTGAGTTATCTTTGCAAGGAGTTCCGTGTCAATTGTTTTCTGGCTATGCCAACCATCACAACTGATTCATGAGCAAGGTTGATGGCCCTTCTTTTACTTTATAATACTTTAGAAAAAATAATGGCTAAGGAATTCTGAAAAAGGTTCTTTCTTGCAGAATCGTCAAACGGACACGTCGTTTCCGAGCCGATCCAGGTCGCGCTTCGGACCGACCCGTCGAAGAACCAACTGAGTGGTCCAAGACGTCGTCGTCTTGAGGGCTCCCTTCAACGGGTTCATCGAAGGTAAGTCTTAGTTGTCGGAAAAAAAGAAAAGAAATGCGAAGATAACTGTTTCACTGATGCATTGCACTGATGTTCCTTTGTACTTATTATTTTTTTCTGGTTTCCTACTAATCATTTACTTGGATACTTGGATGCTCTGTCTTCACTGGTTGTGCGGGCTCCAGCATAATCTCCATTTTTTTTTTTTGGAGTTTTGCTGGTTCAGCCATTGTGGTTCTATGGAGACCAGAGGTCAGTGTAGCCAAAATCTGCGCCAGGTTGTCATCACAGCAAGAAGTTGCCGCCCTTGTGGATCAGAGGGAGATTTGCCACCATGCGACTAGTTCCATAGCAGGATTGTGGTGGCTCCTAGTATTGGTTTACTCTTAGCTGGTCTTCGTGATGGAAACGCCGGACTCTTTCTCAGCTTGGAGGACTCTTTTGGGGAGACGAATTCCCCGTTGTACATCGCAGCCCTACACCCAGAAACATCTCCCAGCCACGATGAGGCGTTAAACCGTTGGGAGGTTTGTTATTCATTATTTCCATTTATTTCCAGTCTTGTAATTCTATTACTTATTTAATTCGAGCCAGCACTGCTTAAATTCGAATTAATACTTCCTACTTTCCCACCAAGACGGTTCCCACCAAAACGAAATTCTGATCATCTGGAGGCGTAATATCGCCCATGTATTACTCTGTGCGGCTGCAATCCACCAACTAACTTAAGTACTTACAGCAAATAAACGGCTCTGAAGAAGACGAAACCGCCGAAACGTCTAAACGTCGATCGAGCTATTATATCCTAATAAATTCTGTAATAACAACCTCGTGTCTGCTTATTGAAGAAAAACATCACTAGCCTTTATTTTCTGTTCCTTTTGGAACTCAAATTAGCATTAATTTCTTGATAGAAAACGTGGCGCAAAAAAAATTGAAATGAGGTACTCTATAAAATAAATAAAGGATAAATCTTTCGACGCTGATCAATCTCTGAGTGATGCGCCATGAATTCGACTTCATTAAGCATCGTTTGGAGGTAATTGAATGCATATCTGGCCTTTACAATGACTCACGATAGCCTGCCTATGTATCGAGCCACTGCTGCTATCCTCCCAGACAATTCTGGTGCCACTTTGTCGACAACGGAGAGATGGGAAGGCTTGGTGGGCCACGGTCGCGGGGCTCGATTCCACGTGTGTGTAACAGGGCGCCCTCAGCCACTGTGCCGCACGCGTCCCGTATCTTAGCTCATAAAGAACTTTATTAGTTGGAATAAAACCTTCGCAAGTTACACATTCTTAGCTGTAGGACACAGCTGTTGTTTTCCCACCAAGACGAAATTCTGATCATCCGCAGCCCATAAGTCGAGTTTATTTTCATTTTTCTTCTTCAAAGGTTGTAATTCGAGAATGAGAGGCACTGACAAAGCGGAGTTTGCCCAGCCGGACACGATCATCTTCCCCAATCTATCGTTAACGTTTGTGATTTCCAGTCTTGAATTTTAAAAATCTATCATGGAAATTTCAGCTTTAAACATGTTTAAAATAAAAATAATTCTTCATAAAAGTCATACCATACGATCAAAGTTATAGCGCGAAATATCTTTAAGCTCATAAACACTCAAATATTTCGCTAATCGAGAAATTACCGTCAGTCGTCGGATAACCAGAATCGGGCTTTATGTGTTAATGGACTTATCAACGAATAACTAGTCAATGCTCTAAAATAATGGAGAGAATACTAAGATGACGAACGTTTTCTGTTCATTATATCCCACGTGTTTTATTCTCCTTGAAGAACTCGACGTCGGAAACTCAATACTCTGGAAATTCGAGAAGAAGACATGTCGGTCGAGATGCGGGGTTTTTTGGGGAGATGCTGACAGCCGAAGCGAGTAAAAACCACTTCAGAAATCATTCCAACAGATTGAATCCAACCAATTTCAATGGAATGCCGTCATTTAAATTAAAATTTCGTTTGAACTGGCTCGAGTTTTTACAGAGGAGCGCACATGATGTGTGTTATACGTAAAATCAGAGATCTCTCGTCGCATGAAAATACTGTTCGGATTTTAGTACAGAAAGGCAGGACTGCGAACGTTTCGACAGCTGACTTCGTGAACGGATAGCTTTTTCATGAGTTATAAGAACTTCTGTAGTTGCTCTTTGGAATCGCCTTTCGGCGAAGTTCCTCGTTGGACTCGCGTTTCAACGGAGTTCCCTGTCTACTAGTGGCATGATGCCAGCCGGCAACCTGTTCGTCAACATAAGCTAGACTTCCTCCAGCTCCCTGATAATATACAGTTTAGTTGGAGTTTTAAAATATAATAAAAGTTCTAAGCCAGCGGCATCATGAGCTAATGAGCAGCATTCTAAAGTTGCTGCTTTTGTAATTAAACAGTAATATAGAATGCAGTACTAGTTGTTAAAGAAATATATGTATATTATTAGGGAGCAAGAGGAAGCCTAATTTATGTTAATGGACAGCCTGCCGGTTGGCATTCCACTGGTAGACTGGAAACTCCACTGAAACGTGAGTCTAGAGAGGAACTCCACTGACACGCTAGTCCAGCGAGGAACTTCGCCGAAAGGCGAGTCCAGAGAACAGCGCGCTTCCGTCTTTTTACAGCGACTGTGCCATGGTGATCCCCTTGCCTGCAACACTCGCCATTGTCACTTTATTATGCTGTCCGATTATTTTTCCTCAGCCGCTACTTCAAGGTATCGTTTGCAGTTGAGTTCAAATATTTGGCAAAGTTTCTTTTTTGCTTGAAAAAATACTTCAAAAATTTTTTTTCTCGGGTAGAAACTTTGAAGAGGTCGATCTAGTGAATGATGTTTTTGTTTGTGTTTACTTCTGCTCTCTAATTTGCCCTCTAAAACTTGGCCTTCAGTGAAAGTTTCTGGGTTTTCTCTTCCGCCTTTTATCTGTGATTTTCAACTAAAAAAGCGCCACTGGCCCGCCATCATATGATTATCGCGAGGGCGAAAACGGAGCTAAAGTGCACGTAGTTTTATGCTTTCACTTTTCCGTCACTTTGGCTTCTGGAAAAACAGACAATCCCCAATTCAAAATCGCCAATGAACGATGACATGTCCGTCCTTGCAACTGGTTCAGTTGGACGTCAAGGTCGTTACAATAGCCGTTTTACTAAATGCATACGAAAACAGATTACGGTAGTTTTAACTTACCTAACTGGCTACTCAGAATTATTCGTGTAGAAACGGCTGCGTTTGCTGGAAGAAAATCTTTCAGAGGGTTTAATTTGTCTATGATTATTGCTCTATAGATTTTCATAGTTTGACGTAACACTGTGCCGGATTTATTCTTGTCTCTTCTCATTCAATCTTCAAGATATTTGATCTAATAAATCTATTCGTTTAATTTCAATCGTAAATTGGTTTTTTGATTTTTTCTTAGTTTCTCATTCATAGACTTTCTCAGTCCTCAAATCCGTAATCGCAGCTAATTAGATGGATCGCACTCACAATCTCTGCTAGTCTAGGGTTAGCTTAATGTGAGCTGCTTCACTAAAAGCTCAATAGTTTTTATTACAATGGACTTATTTATGTAAAGTAAAAACTGTTTCAGTACGTATTTTTTCATTGTTAACCCAACTCTGGTTTGATAAAACAAGAGTTAAAATATTGTAGAATAAACCGAAGAATTGTTCTAACAACTGCTTTCTTTGATACTTGGTTGGCATGGTTGCCCACATGAAATTTGCAGTCCTCAGAACGACTTTGATTTGACTGTTTTGGTGGCTCGGAAGAATTTTTTCCCCAGAGTCCCGAGACATTCGTGCCAGGGCGTCCCCGTGTTGTCATCACATATAGCTAGTCACCGACGCTTGTAGATCGGAGAGGGGCTTTTTGACTGGACTGACTTTTTCCAAGAAAGCGGTGATTCTTAGCATAGGTTTGCTTTATCTGAGTTTACAAATTGGATGATTGATCCCCTCAACTTGAGTTGCCCATAACACGCCAGCAGCACTGATATAACTTACGCCAGGTGTAGCGACATATCGTCGATACAGATTCATCGCAGTCAGTTGCTGTGATCTGCGGACACCATTGAACTGAACTCAGAGCTCTATTTTAGTCTACTTATTTGATCAGTAGGTTAAATGTAACTTGAATGTGAAGTGAAGGAAGGACGAAACGAACTTTCTGAAAATATATGGGAAAATCCTTCGCAGTAAGCTTATTTTACTCATTTTCAGATCACAAAGTGCCGGAGCGGATGCAAATCTTAGTGTAATAGTGCCGTCGTCGTCCGACATGCGTGTGTTCAGTTTGAATCAGACGCGTGATACGAAGGAAACTTCTGACGCGAAGTTCTTGCGAGCCACAAAGCGTTTCTTCAAGAAAATCTACACGACGGCTACATTTCCGAACAAGAAGGTGTCACTGGACGCCGAATCGCATTTTCAAAAAGCGCTGCCACTTTTCGATAACGGGTAAGTAGGAGGATGGCGCTGAGTACTTCATTCGAGTATTTTTAGAGTTTTGTTGTTGTTCTTCTTTGATACAAAAAAAAAGTTGTTAGACAGCACATGGTAGGCCGCATAAGTGTAGGAAATGTTCGCGAAGTAAACACCAAGTCCATCAGTTTTTAGTGGGTTTCCGGAAGCTTCCATGAACTGTAACCCTTCTGTTCTTTCCCGTTCTTTCTAAGCGCTAGAAAAACATTACGTTATCTAACAACTATTTCACACCGATTACGTTTTGCTCTTTTCCTGTCAACTGTTTGCTAATGTTTATCCAGCGATAAAAGTATTTTATGGACCATACGGTTTTATTGGCTGCCTTTGATGTACTCTATCACTTGCAGCTGTTGAATTTGACATTTTTCCTTCATATATGGTGATCGATTTGCTAGAGAGAGGTGCAAAAATTGGCTATGATTTTCAGCTCTCGTGGATCTGTACTAAAAAACGACACGGATTTCTCGCGAATAGAAGATTTCCAGAACTATTCTCAAACCTATATCGATACAAGTTATCCGGATAGTGGGCTTGATTTAGACAGGTACATTTATTCGGCTCAATTGTTCCGTACCTTTTTACGAATTTTGTATTTATTACGTACTTTTCTAGTTTCTAATATTTTTCTTCATTCTTTTTCTTCATTTCAATTCCGCGATGTTGTCTGAATAGAATGGACATGGGTGGTTCTCCATCGCTCCCGAACATTTTCGCGTACTTTGTTCCATTTTTGGAAATGAACAATTTAAAGACTGTACTAGAATAAACACCTTCAATATCCTCTCTTGTAGTGAAACTAACTTTTATAGTAACTGATTTCTATAAGAATTCATAGTAAAGGGTGAAAATGCCGTTTTCCAGGTCGTCCACTCCAGACCAGTCAATGGGATCCATGACAGTTACGTCGTCCGATTCTCGAGTGACATCGTCGGAATCAAGTCGGGAAGACCGTTGTGAGGATCTCTTCGAAACTCTTCGGCGAGAGATGGTAAACAGTTTTCGATGTTTCATAGATTCCGCATCTTTCGTATTAGTCAAATAAACGTTAGCGAAGCGCTCAAGTTGATATCACAATGGTTACCTGGTAGCCTTATAGCAATGTAAAGGCATCGAGATGACTGTGAGTTATCGTGAACTACGGTATGTTTGAGTGTTCTAGTGCAGTGCAACAAGGTAGGCTTTACATAAAGCTCTCTTGGCGCAAGATCATTTCCCGCTTTTAATGGCTTTAAGAAAAGTACTGAAGGTTCTAGCGATATCTTCCGCTGTTCACCGAGAAGTTTTCTTTTTTTTTCGAAAAGAGTGACCTTTATATTTCCTTTACATAAACAGTCAGTTTGCAGCATGCAATGCGAGCCAGAGACGCCGCCATACTTGCCGATCTGCATCGAGTCGAGTCGCAGATCCAGAGTGTCAAGCTGGCTCGTCTCGGTGTCTACGGCGTTGCTACTCAGCAACAGCCGGTCCAGAGTCTTCCGATATGAGGCGACTAGTGCTTGTTGCCCATTTTCCGTCTCATTATCATCATTTATTATGTGCACCATATTACGCCTACGCTACGCTTTTTACTGTTCAGTGTACATTTCTCCACTTACTTTATATATATAGAATAATTTCGTGACCATGAGTTTATCAGTAGCTGGTTATTAACTTCCTTGTTTCCTATTAATCGCAACCCTATTTGTGTCCTATTAAGCGACTTGCAGTATATCCTCTAGTCGCCTAGTTTTATCTATCTATGCTAATCGTTAATCTCTCTTCATTTTGAACAATATTCTTCCTCGTCTATGTACATTTACTCTGTAACCCTTTATTATGTGCGGGTTAGAATTTTATACTGATATCTTGCTGAGGAACGTGCTAAAGAAGTGTCTGTGGTAGTTTCCATTAAGTACAGCTCGGTAGTCAACCTAGTGTTCGAGCCGCCGGACAACCACCTTCTATCTCTGCTTCGACACCATAAGTCTCCTCAGCGCTTCTCCACGAGGAAAAGAAAGCCATCACAGAGACGCCTGTGTGTCGCAGTGTAACCCTTCTCCTCTTAGTTCCTTAATTCTGCAATAATATTTCGATGTTTGTGAAATAAATATCGTACTCCTTTGGTGTTGAAACGAAGAAAAAAGACATGAAGTACAACAACTGCTTTCAAGGTGACTTCTGAGTGGATGTGAGTAAGACCGATTCAGATTTATAGTACAAGGAATTCAGTTCCTTGAAGATGTTCCTATTTGATTTCTTAATTGTGAGAAATCTGACTGACTGTTTTGTAAAGTTCGGTTTCTTTCCATCAGAACGTATTGTGAAGTGCTTGAGCATGCTATTTTTGTTCCTGCCTCTTTTCAAAGTGGGTCTTTTTGTGGCTTATTTGGAACCTTGTCAAGTTACCTTATGATCTTCACTTTTCCTATGGAAATTGCCATCAAATTTCCTTTTCTTGCTCGAGAAGTCATCGCTGGTCATTTTGATAAGCTAATCCATGCCATTTATCTGTGTCCTTCAATAATGTCTAGTAGGCGGCAGAACCGGATAGTTGATATCATGCAAAATACTTCTCTTTTAAATAAAAATACATTACATTTGTAATACATTTGTTGGACATTGCTCAATGAGGATCTTGAATGCGAAGGTATTGAATGGTGGATAAAGAAAGCAACCAACGAAATAAAAAGTTTACTTAATGAAGGAATGAAATTCTACATTCATCTTCTTCTACTACATTCATTGTAAATGCTCCCAGTTCTCTTTTCTTCGTTTGCAGTCAACAAGCGAAGTCGCTTTAAACACTCCAGCACACTTCCACTCGTTTGTACGCTTTGCACCATCACTCGTGATGGTGGTTTGATTCGATCATGGCGCCATGTGCAAGAACAGCCGATTAACTTTAATTATGAAGACGTTAGCTTAACGTGTAGGTGGCCGTCCTAGTGGTCACCTGCATCCTCGTGGAATGCACTCTACGGTTCTTTTCGTCCATCTGTCGTTTGTTCTTCTCACTATATGACCACCCCCATCTATATTTCGCTAACGATGTGTGTTCTCCTGAGTCTCAAAGATGAGATGCATTTCGATGATCAGAGTTTCACATTCCTGCTAGATGATGATTGATGATGATGATGATGATGATGATGATGATGATGATGATGATGATGATGATGATG